TGCTTTACATGGTCAGCGTTCAACGACCTCCTTACGTAAAGATAACGAGTTTTTTGGCGATACATTACTAGTACTCAAAATCAATGTTCCCAAGAACGTCCTGTTCTGCAGAAAGGTGAAACTGTTGGAAACAACTTCTCGTACAAAATGAACTTCGTGAACACAAGGATGCTAATAATATGGTTGCATCCAGTGAAATCTTGACACCTACTTATTTATTTCTTAGTGTTTTACGAAATGTTAATAAAATCACAGTCACTCCTTATAAAGTAGTGTTTTGCCAATATTTATTGGTATCCTTATGTATCCAAATGCAGATGAATATTTAGTTTATTGATACTAAAAAGGAAATTTCGAAATCGAAAGTATTGTCGCCTCGGTGTGTTGCGACATTTTAGCTGTTTACAGCTGACAAGAAGTTATAAACTTAATGGCAAGTCCATTATCCTGATGATACTTTTTAAGTATCGATGTACAACAGTTTTAGCGAACATCCTACGCTTTCTGGTTTCGAAAGTAGGACTTGTATGGGAGGCTCAATATTTTTGGGAGCAAGGAGATTATAAATTTAATAAAATATCAAATTTATGTGAAGTGGAAAAGTACATTGAAATCAGAGAAGATGGTTTCGTTTTAAGAAAACAAATTATAACGGTTCATATAAGCCCTGTTATGTTTATTGTCACATAAAAGTAAATAAAATAATCCTTTATGAAGTAACGGCTTTATTCTCGAAATATTTGAGGAAAGTAAATAGTTATGATGTATTTTATCAGTATTGTTGAATAAGTATAGTGCGACGTCTCACAATGTCAAGAACTGTGATCGTTCTTGATCTTTTGACTATGCGAATCTGTATCAAGGCCACTCTAAGATAATAAATATTCGTTTGTAATACTAATTAATTTTATATCAATACTATAATATACATTATGTTGATTTAATGCGCTGCACTGGCTAAGATTAGAAGAAATCTGAATTAAATTGTAATAGTTCTACCTAATAAGCATAATTGATATTTTTTCTGTCTTTTGCGTGATTTCTTTTAGAAATTGGACAAAATATCGTTTCACTACTTGTACTATGTATTCTGTGGTTTCACTATCGACAATGGGCTAGAATTGGGTACTTTCCTTAATCAAAAATAAATTAATTCGACTGTTCAATACAATAAAATGTTAAAAAATAATCACGTTTTCATTAATTGATTTTATCACAGAACATATAAAGGAGGATAGAACGGCCTTGTGGGCGGTACACGCGTGCCGCCGTTATGAGAAAATGCTCCAAATCTACCAAAATGTCAAAAACCGGCCATCAAACGAAATGATATTGTGACAGCGTACGAAACTCCGCAAATAATATTAAATTATGCCGTCTTGGACTATTGTAATGTGTCGGAAAAGAAGACAGGTGTGCAATGTAGCACGAGAAGGGATTTCTTTCCACCAGTGACTTCAAAAACATTAATATACTTGTGATATTTGTAATTATAACATTAATATTATGACGTTTCTAGACAAAAACGACATTATCGCAAGCAGTATACATTGCTTGCAATAGATACGTACCGTTTTGCACTACATAAACGATCGCGCAATGTATTACGTTCACAACGAGAGTCCCGAGTATCAAATCAAAACGTCATTTCCTCGAATCGATATAGAGAAGTGTCAATTTGTAAACAATGTCGATAATTACTATGATACAAAGGATTATTATCAAATTATACACATTATAACTAAAATAATTTTATTTATTACGACTAATTATGAAATAGGTTTTAAGTGAGGCATTTTATTCGTATTTCAGTTTTATATAATTTTTTATGTATTCGTTATGTTTTGTTCAGTAAGTAGACTGATTTTATGATTTAGGAAATTTTGTTTTACATTTCTACCTTGATATCATCTAAGGGACATCTAAATCATTTTTCGTAAGATGGATACTCTTTCATACATGCTTAGGCCCAAATTGTAAATAGTTGAAACTATGAGAAATTCTTAAAAGCCAGCCGAAATTTTAGTCAATAATTTAAAATAGTTGTTGAGGTTTTCTATTCGAGAACAAAGCTATGACAACAAATAAGATGACATTATATCCTGGGAGCGATTGTATTGTACCTTTTTTAAGAATAGCTATGTACACTTGATGACTTTTCTAGTTTTCAGAGCTTTTAGAGCTGACTTAATTTACGTGAGCTAAATATTGTGTTGGCCTGGAGGTTGCGGCGCTGTTTCATACAACTTATACGTACTTTCTAAGTTAATTTGCACACCACTCACATTCAGTAAAGGAAATTATGTAACCGAAACTATATAATAATTCCTATTTATATTAACTATTAAAGAAATACGAACGACGATTATCGGTTGTCATCATACGAATGTCATGATGATATCTAACAGAGACAATAACAGAGTTTTGAGCACAGATTAGATATATCATGATATGGTTACGTTATGATAATTCTCAATATTTCATTATTTTATGATTTTTCATTCCTTAGGGAGAAATTAAGCTATTTTTTATATATTTTGAATTAAGTAAAAATCTATTATTTTTGACCCCATGACTTCCCAGACTCCTTTTATTTTTATAAAACTTACAGTTGAAAACAAAACAAAATCGAAATAATACCTTTTCGGGTTTTTATACTTTTTTGATTACTACCAATCAACAATTTACTTATAACTATATTCCATGTCAAATTATTTTAATGTTAATAATGTAATTGATTTTAAAAATCAGTTATGTATTTTTCTATGTATAGTTATTTACATTAACGTAAATACATGTGCACAATATGCCTTATACAAATCCGCATAGTCCGCAATACATGTAAATTAAGAAGCTAGATGCCATTAATTTTATCGATATCAATAATCGACCTTTCGCTCCCCCTACCATATATGAGTTTTTTACGCCTGTATTAGTGTATGTCAAACGAAGTGATTGCGTCAGTGTGACGACCAATAACAAATCTTTTAACCTAGTGCGTGTTGTTTATTTGTGTGCATTTTCCGCGTAGGTATTGGTCTCTTGCTTGTAGTAAAGTTAAAGAGTGGGGGACAAACGGCGACGCGTGTTCTAATACAAATCAGGAACTATTTCCTTTCTAGCCTTCTTTATATGTTCTGTGGATTTTATGACCAACTTCATTTTATTCTTTTTTTCAGTAATTTTTTAACAAATAAGAATGCTGTTTCACGCAAAAAAAAAACGTGACGTCACAATACACAATATCGTAAAATTTATAGAGAACTGTCTTTTGTGACAGTTCAAAAAAAGTATTGACTAAGACTGGTTGACAAGTAGGTACCCAATTTCGCAACATATTAAGGTACTGGCAGTATAGTCAACAACACCGTTTTGAAGACTCGGTAGCCAAAGAAAAAATAATTTCAATTTATCTAGATTTTTTTTCGAATTTCACAATATCTCATTTTCAAACAGCTCGTATACATTTAATCTACACGTTCTACTGTTTCACATATCTGTTACCACATTGTACATCTAATCAGCTCATCAAGCTACCTTATAACATCTACATAGTACACAGATAGGAGGCTCGTACGTTTTTACTATCAATTAAACCGGATACTTTTTGTTTTGACTTTGAACTTATTAAAGTCTCACTTCAAGCTGTCGAATTTACGAAGAATTCTGCACGTGATTGTCAATTCTTGAAGGTTATAGGCTATCTAAGACTACGACGTCCGTGTTGTTTATTAAGTCAGTCTAAAAAAATGTAGTCATCGTTATTAGAACGATCGCATTGACACATGCGACTGCCTACCAAGGGGTCTTGAGAACAATCCGTATTTGAGCGAAGTTTGATTAGGATTCTTTGGAACTTTTCAGTCAGCAACAGGTTTTCAGAAAATTTTCAGTAATAGCTCCAATGCTTGGCGTTCAGTTTAGGTAACTATGGCACTATTACATAGGACTCAATTCTAGGCAGTCCAAAACTGGGTCTTACTTTTGCGCACTTTCGAGGATTAAAAGCGTGGTGCTATGTTAAAACTACGATGCCCAATAACGGAGCGCTCTGCACCGTTAGACCCGCGGGCCACGAGGTACTTTATGAATTACTGGTGTTAGGCAATCGATCCCTATCTCATGATAATACTGTACAGTTGCCTCTTGTACCTAGTTACCTAACCGCAGTTTGAATAGTTTCCTTGTAATACCAGTTTAACTAGTCTAAAGTCGTACCCATTTGTTTTTATCCTAGGCTTTTGAAGATGTTTCGTAATATCGTGTTTTTTGCGAAAGATTTAGGTTGAGGTGTACAGCTAAAGCTAAGCAGCTATTTTCCTACTAAACTAGGTTATTGCCATACATGCATCTACTTACATTTTATTCCACGAAGGGGTAGACAGAGGTCGACATATTACCTATCTTGTAACGTTCTTTCGCTAGTCATTTTATACTTATTATGAGTCCTGTGTCTCGACAGCAATTCAAAACTTTTAAAGCCGAAATATCCCTGTATGCACGATCCAGGAATCCAATGCAGTTGCTACCACTCATATTCATAAACTACCAGGTATAAATAGGGTGCTTATAAATAGGGCGAAGTATACTAATGAATGGAACATCTAAGTAGATTCCTTTGAATAGTTATTTGAATTTTGAGTACTTTACTCTCTGACTCAGATTTTCTCGAAACTTTCTATTAGAAATCCGAAAAATATATCCATTATGGATCATGGCTAGAGGTTGTGGTTGTGGTCACACCTAAAGCATTATGCTTGAGTTTTTATCATAACTTTAAGTGCTTCTCATAAAACATAGGTTACACCATTATTGCCCGGTAGCATAGGCGCACTCTTATCACTCATTATCTTTTTATTTAACCTCTTTGTAGGTAATAACATCGTTACAAGGATCTCACCTGTCGTAGTATTCATACTGTTACCAAATTTACATACCTTGCTCGATTTCGACTTTCCAATGTGAAACATTTTCAAAACAATATTTTGTTTTGTCCACAGAAAACAGTATTAGACAGTATATCACACGATGATCCGGGATTCACGGGAGATGGCTACACGTCTCTGGCCATCATCTACGCAACGCTGGCCATATGTAACTGGATGGCGCCTTCCATCATCACGATCACAGGACCAAGAGGAGCCATGTTTATTGGTGGACTGACTTATTTGTAAGTATTTCTTTTGTTCATAATTTTTTCTACAGTTGAATAAACTTGTCAAGTTGTTGAAATTCCATACACCGCCGCGCCGATTTTTTAAATTTTTGGTCCAAATATGGACACTTACAAGACGTCAACAATTGGACTTAGGCTGATAGGCTCCTTATATTTATACAGATCAAAATATCTTTAAAAGCTTTCAATATTAAAAAGAGAGATTTCTACGTAATTATGTCGAATCATCATTGGTTTTTCCAATAAAAGTTTCTATTAGAAACACTTCACTTTTACTGGTTATTTAGCTAACTGTGGAAGTACGTATGGGAGAGCCATGATTCGGCACGAACGGGCCGGCTCGACCGGATTGATACCACAGCCTCACAGAGAACCCGACGTGAAACAACGCTTGCGTTGTGTTTCGTCGTGTGAGTGAGGTTACCGGAGGCCCGACAGACCCCCTTCCCTAATTTTCCCAATCCCTGAAATCCCCGACATTCCTCAAATTCCTAATCCCCAAAAGGCCGGTAATGCACTTGTAACGCCTCTGGTGTTCCAGGTGTCCATGAGCGATGCCGATGTCTTACCATCAGGTGATCCATCTGCTCGTTTACTTTCTTATCACACAAAAAAATAATATAATTGTTTCATGTCCTAAAGTTACAAAACTACGGAACTTCATGGCTTTCTGCACAAAAGTACTTCTTATCTTCATAGTTCTTCGTATAGAACTGTTTAAAGTAACATTGTATAATAATAATTGAAAGTGTTATGTAAGTTCTACGAATGTAATATTATACAACGTTTTTTTATAAAGTCTTAGGTGCTAATGTCCATCATTTGTCAATTTGTAGGTCATTGTACCCATTATTGGGGTTTGTAGATCATATATACACACTAGGACGTAACGTTACGTTCATTAACTCATGATGAACTGTACACACTGTAATATGTTTATTGTTAATAGGACGGCCTAGGCTGAACCAAGTTTTTAAAGCTAAACCGCGCTTCGTTATTATTAGGGGGCCAGGGGGCCTAGACTAAATTAAATAACAATTTTCCTCGCCTTTCCAGCAAACCGCACAAAGGACTTGCACAAAACTTCGAACCATTTCCAAATTGTCAGTTCTATATATTGATGCGACTGTAATCGATTTATCTTTACTTCCTTATCCTTACTATCCTTACTAATATTATAAATTGGAAAGTGAGTTTGTTTGTTTGTTCCGCTTTCACGCCGTAACTACTAAACCGATTGCTTTGAATTTTTGCAGACGTAAAGTTAGAAGTCTGAATTAAATAATAGGGTACTTTTTATCCCGGAAAAAATTGATATTCCCGAGGGAAAACAAAAGTATTGGTATAGATGGCGCTGTGTGTATTGGTGTATGTCACATAGGCTACTTTTTATCCTTTTGTGACGCGAGCGAAGCCGCGGGTAAAAGCTAGTTTCTGCATAATTAAGTTGGAAATAAAATCGCTAGGGTGTGGCATTATGTCCGAACCGCAATTTATTGCGCTTTAAAAACGCAGTCAGTTAATCGTAGTAGCGTTTTATTTTTGTTTCTTTTTTTTTAAGGGGGGAAAATAGCCTAGGCTTATAACCAAATACGATTTAAGGATTAGTAAGTGCGTAAGTCTGTTTGTGTGTTTCTGTTTACTGTTTATCCGATGATGAAATTAGATTTGTATGACGTCAACGTAAAATGAAAGTTGTTTTTGTATGTTATTGTTTTTTGGATATCATAAAACATTTCTACGTTTGGATAATGGGTCCTTAGCGGTTCAATATTTTGGTGCTTTCTAAATAATCTATGACCACTTGAAGAACTGTTTGCTATATCTACCGATTAGGTATTTGTTATGAATTTATGAATGGAATAAATGTTTAATATACACATTTATTTATTTATTAAACTTGGGTCAACATAATTGGCATATCTCAAGAACGGTTGAATCGATCTGGCTTAAAATTGGTAGATAGCTTTGAACCAGGAGACTAGACATAGGATACTTTTATCCAAGGGTATCCCGAAAATCTTACGGTAACGGGAAAAACGGGTTTGCACGTACGAAGTCGCGCGTAGAAGGTAGTATGAAATATTTGTAGAATTTCGTCGGTAATCAATGCAGTTTTGAGACTTCGTTTGTAAGCAATACGGTTTATACTTGAAAAAAAATTATAGTCGGTTTCATATTAATCTGTTAATCAGTATGCGATAAAACAATAAAGTATTTCCTCTCCATAATATCTAGTACTTTAGATTTAGTTGTCTACGTAACAAAGATGTTAAAAATCTCATAAAATCTATGCGAACTTTCTCTGTTCATTTGTTTGTTGCCGCAGTACGTTTGTCTAACGTAAACTATGTATTTATTATCACAGTCGTGCGAACACTTGTGCGCCCGCGCTGATACTAACATCGCAGTAATTTCACTATGGAATTGCATGATTTCGTGTAGTTTGAGTAATGTTCTAGAAAATGTATGTACGTTACGCTATGTGGTTTTAAATAACATAATATGACCTATGAAGATAATTTTGTTAGGCCTCTTAGGTATTTTAGTAAAGGGGAATTATTGTTAGCAAAAAATCTTAGCACGTTTGCACGTTCGTCTTATCAACCTATGTTTTGTATGCTGTACATTACTTAGATAAAATCTAAAAATATCATGATCAAATAATACCATCAATACATAGTATAAAACAAAGTCGCTTTCGCTGTATGTCCGTATGTATGCTTAGATCTTTAAAACTACGCAACGGATTTTGATGCGGTTTTTTTTAATAGATAGAGTGATTCTTAAGGAAGGTTTGTATGTATAATACATGCATATTGCACCCGTGCGAAGCCGGGGCGGGTCGCTAGTAATGTATAATTTACATTTTACGTTTGTTGCACTTCCAGTATTTTGCTTGTTCTTTTAATTATTTATCATGTAATCGTTGTAATGGAGCTGATGTATCTTCCATTATACCTTATTTTGGTCTCTTTTAGGGACAAACAGTGATAAAATAGTTCTTATAGGATGAGAAATATAAACTTTTTGATAGTAAAAGTTGTGTTATAAAGTAATATAAATGTAACTGGACGTAGTGTAGTCTCAGAACTATCAGTTGCCGTTACGTTGAAGTGGTGTCGTGAATGTTAAGTAAATTCTTTGTTTAACTTTGTTACTCCTTACTTACGATTCAATTACCAAGTAGCTGTTGACATTGACTGTCTTCTGTCGACATTTGATGAATGTAGTCGAAGAGTTCGCTCTCTGGGTTTTGGTCTGCTATTTTGGAATAGGAGCAGTTTTGGTTTATTAGAGAACTAGCTTTTACTCGCGGCTTCGCTCGCGTCACAAAAGGATAAAAAGTAGCCTATGTGACATATACCAATACACACAGCGCCATATATACCAATTTTGACTTTGACTTTGAATTTCGTTTTCCCTCGAGAATATCAAATTTTCCCCGATAAAAAGTACCCTATTATTTAATCCAGACTTCTAACTTCACGTCTGCAAAGCAATCGGTTTAGCAGTTACGGCGTCAAAGTGGAACAAACAAACAAACAAACTCACTTTCCGATTTATAATATTAGAGGTAGTAAAAACTAAGTCTAACCGGGTATGTGGCGTCTTTCCTAAATAGCAAGGTTTGTGGAGGGCAGATGGCAGTTGCACGTAAAATTCTGATATTGAATTGGGCCGAATCTAGTTCAAACTTCAGTAGAGCCAATTCCAAAACGGAAAAAGACCCAGTGCTTTTTCTTCGTGCCCTTATCTGTAAGTCTGTAACCAAAGCCTACATAGCTTTGGTTATAGAATAGTTTTATTTGATGTTTATTTTTATCAGATACAAGTGTGATTAAGTATGATAAGGTAGGTGACATCAACTGTTGTCGTCCGTGCATGTATGCAGTGGCTTGGCATTTGCTTGAGCTGTCCAAAATATAAAATAACCACATTTATTTATGAGGAAATGTAAATAGAAAGCATTCGTAAGGGAAACACGTTGATAAATAAAAATACATTCTTTATCTTCACTCAGTTACTTAGTTTTTACCAAGCAATAGTAATCTCATGAATTTATGAGAGACAATAAAATCTATCAAGTACATTTTACATAGTTCTTTGTTCGTGTACCTATCTACGTAATATGTGGAGAACATCTATTGCAATGTATGGAATACGATAAACGTTGTTTACTGCAATAACTATACATTGTTCTTTAGGTACTCTATTAATTACACTACATTTGTCGTGCAAATAATGACAATTTTCCAACAGAAATGATAACTAGAAATTTTGATTGTAAACTAAATAGATGTTCCGTCTGTGACGGCCATGTGTGTTCGATGAACCTTTTATAAAACTAAGCATTTAGTTTTCAATTGTTATGATTTGTGATACGGGAATTAACCCATCGCATTTTGTTCATTGATTTATTTTATAGTAATCCATATGATAACATTTGTATTATGAAGATACAAGGGATTACCGTAACTGGGTTAAGTTTAATCTACTTACACGTAGTTTTTGGGAGATTATCGGTTTTGTACACATTGATTCATCAAATGGTTTTTGTATTAAAGTATGACTGTCTGACTTATTTTTATTTTGTTATTGTCTATCACTCACTGTTCTATATAGATTTAGGCAACAGAGTAAAATTCCCTAAGAAAAGGAGGACCTTCCGTTCAGGCGAGGTGATCATGCCTAGCGGGTTTTCTGCCCATTAATTGTTCATTGGGATTTTCTATCCATGTTAATTCGCATGTAAATTTCACATGTGCAATGTAGGATTTTGTGTCGGAACATATATTCTTCTTCGGTTAAGGGTACCTACTTTTAATTTAGTCCTTCTTATTCTTTAATACTTAGTAAGTATAATAATTATGTTGCATTTGTATTTATTGCTGTCATTTGTCGTTAAAACTTCAATGCGTCGTCACAGATAATATATTGGAGACTCGGTTGTCATTCAATACAGAAAAAAAAAGATAATATTTAGCAGGTGGTTTCCAATCGTTATATTATCGCACATGCATTCCTCAGTCGGTGTATATCGAAATATTTTCGCTTACAAACCTTCACTAGACTAGATCACGCCCCCTCAAGGTTGCCCGCCGGCTTTGTTGCATAGTTTCAACCTTTCATTTATTTTAACAAGATATTAAACTATTTATTTATAGCTATAAACAACGCTAGACAAAAACACAGTTATTATTATTTTTACGATTGTTAGTCACGTTATTATATTTTCAATTTCCGTCAATTTGATGATTGAGTTTTCTGCGCCGAACTTAGTTTTATCAGTTTCCAAAGTGAGGCTATTAAGTTATTAACCTGGTTTAAAATTGTTAGTCCAATTAACATTTTTACCTAAAAGCCTGAACGGCTTAACAAGCACTTAAACTGTTTAGAATTAGATCGAATTTTTTGTTGCATAGTCGTCACCGAACATGATCGAGTAACATATGAAAGTATTTAACACGTTAATTTTTTTCTATGTTGGTTACGCGTTTGATTCAATTTAATTGCATCATCATAATCACTACTGCGCTTGCGTGACCTTGACTTGATTTGAAAGTGCACTGAACTCATTTGAAAACTAGTTTTCGCTGAAATTATATCTACATATTACGTTGTCAAGCTAGTTCTTGGTGATCCTAAATAATTTACTTATTGCAAAATGTCTCCGAGTATACTTTATTTGTGCAATGAAAGCAGATTTTTCCTCAAAAATGCTTATACTAAGTACTTATTTAAAAAACCAGCTCATTTTACGGCCGGATATGTATGCAATGAGTTTATTGGTAGATGCTTAATAGATTTTTAATTGTAACTACGACACGGATACGATTACTTATACAGTTTTACAAAATGTATATGTGCAACAATAGTAAGTAGGTAGTATCCTATATGATGTTTTGTTATAACACCATTTACGCAATTCGATGCCTATCAGTCAAACAACTTTTTAAACTGTGAGCAGAGTACATGACATCAAAGTGTTAACACCATCAAATCGAGCTACCCCATTCTAATGACCTTTAATACCTCTAGAATTGTCGACCTTATTATTGTGTAATTAAGTTGAATATATTTCAAAGAAATGTGACTGGTTTAGGTAACATAATATGCTGGCGTTTGTACCACGTGCATATTATGAATTGTACGTATGTGTGTAATTCACATATACTCTGATAAACGAGAGCTATTATCTTTAATAGCAGTTACAACAACTACAAACTAGCCAGTTTGGCTAGCTACATAAAATTTCATCACAAAAAATTGCGACTAACGTTCAACTGGTAGCGTGCAATTTGTCGCACTCGTCTGTCGCAACACCCTTTCATTTTTCCTCAAAGATTTACGACATGTGAATGATAAAATGATAATGATCTTTATTTTCTTCCGGTTCATCGTTAATCGAGGTCAAATCGCATAGGAATCGTGTTGTGATTGTTTTGCAATAACGGGCACGTGTTGTGTAGGAAACTAGTAGCACTATCGTTTTTTAGGCTCCTTCATACAATGACCATGTATGTAATTGTTTCGTATTATAGTCTGAGATAAGAGAAGTTCTTGATTGAATACTTAATCGAATGATCAGGCATTATTGGGTATTTGATTTAAACTGTCAAACACCAAGCGGTCACCGGTGACCGCAACCTATTGTTCTATAATTGTGTCTACAAAACCGGTACTCGACGAGTTAAATCAACTCACCAGTCACCGCCCATTTCTGTTTAATAAGACTTAGTTCTATGAATTAAGAGGATATCAGCGTTGCCTGCACGTTAATGAGTGTTTTGGATCTTTAAGTAATTTGTCTCTAATATATTCCAATACAAGCCTAGTGCGGACTTTACAGCATTAGTATGTCCCATCTCCACTAAACTTACTTTATTTGGAAATGTAACGCCTTTGTTCTTCTCGTCTAAGTTGAAATGTACGAGAATCGTGTATGGATGTAACCATTACAAGCATCCCACATTACACTACCTATGCGATGTTTAGAGATTCGGAGGTGTGTTCGGTAGTTACACAATCAGATCGTAACCGCAACTGTTCAATATATTTTGTAGCATCTGCTATTTACAGAGATAAAGGTATTAACCATCTGGAGACTGGAAGTGTTCTATGTGATTTTACGTCCGTTTTTTTTTTATTATATTAAATGGGACTGAAGTTTGACCACTATCTCGCCTGGTGGTAAGCGATGATGATGATCTCTCATAAGCAACCTATTCATTCGGGCCTTGAAGACACCCAGGTTATATCCTTCAGGAAATACAGACTCTGGCAAAGAAATTCACTCCTTAGTAGTACGCACTAGGAAGCTTGATGCGAAGCGTTTCATGCGTCTAGGTGGGACATCTAGCATGAATCGATGACGCTTCGTCGATTGTCTTGTGATACGATGATGGAAAGGACTAGGGGAAATCAAGTTGTGCAATTTCGTGTCAACAAAACACAACGATTAATATCTGTTTTTTGGTGTCTGATGTCTTTTGTTAATGGATTGTCAATCGGATCGATCCTAGCATGATTATTACTTTTACGTCTAATATCACCCTCAATTAGAGATATCTCTTTATGATCGTTAAGTGTGTGGCAGGCTTTACCAAATCAATAATGCTGGTCAAATAGTAATAGCTGTATCGAAGTCAGCGTGTGTTTCAAAAATATTTTTTTAACTTTTTCCAAAAAAGGATGATTTGGTTCCTCAATTATTGCTGTAACTGGTTTTAACTGGTCGAGTACCGGTTTTGTAGACACAATTATAGAACAATAGGTTGCGGTCACCGGTGACCGCTTGGTGTTTGACAGTTTAAATTGTCCACGAAAGCAAAGTTGCATTTATGTATCTGTATAGATAACATTAAAAAGTAATTAAATTTCTTATCTGGTGTGGTTTCAACAGTTATTCATCCAAATTGTGGCAGGTTCTTTGTACCTATTGCCATAAAGTTTAATTTTGTAAGCAATTTCGGACGGTGTGATGACGTAGGTTCAACTGCTGTTTTGTTGATAATATTTCTTTAATGCGTATCAGACAGATGAAACTTTATAACAAAATAGAAGGTATACCTACTTATTTAATTACCTATTGCGTCTCGGTTATCTTCTAGTCTAAGCCTAATATTGTAGTCACCTTACAAGGCATTGGCAAGATACTTGCTTTCAAAGTTCAAGTTTTCCTTAAATGTGTCTACTAAAGTCGGCCGTTATTATTCAGACATTTGCAACAAGCCAGATTTATCGTAGCCTACCTGAGTTCGAGGCGAGCTAGCGACCATGTCATCCGAACTATGTAATATAGATTGCGTAACCGATACTTGTTTTATACTCTAGTGGACATTGGACATAATTTCCAGACGCCAACACATTAAGCTATCCTATTCTAAAATATATTTATTACTTTATTGCAAAATGTTAAGGTGGATAATCTATTACAGGAATTTTTCAAATAGGGATAGGATGTCGTCCTCGTTGGTTGTCTGAAGCAATTTTGTAATTCTAAAACATTTATTGTGGAACGTTTACCTGACACTGGATAGCATCAGATTTAAAGTTCAGAAACCTAGTTATATGGCATTCTGCCAGAGTTCAACTTTCGTTCAGAATTTTTAAAAGCCTCCGTCTCGTTTGGATCTGCCCCATTATGTTGCAATGCTCGTGAAATTGGATTAGCAAATCTTACGTCAACTGCTGAACAATGAAGGATGCCGCTCTCAGACTTGTTTTCAATTGTTTTTAGAGATAGAAATTTCTACTGTAGATTGTTCTATTCGGAAATTTTTGGACCCTCAATATAAATCTAGCTTCACGTTACTGATCTTTTAATGTATCTACACCTAAAACAGCAGAATTAAAATTCGGATGAAGGAGTAAGGAAGAATCAATATCTAGAGATCAGTAACTTTAACATGGATGAGTTGCAAATACATGTATGAAATTAATAGGATAGCGGAAGTGATACTGATTATCCTTTTGCAGGTTCTTCATCGTGACTTTCTTGTTCCCTCGCACGTGGCTCTTGTACGTGGCGAGCGTGTTGATCGGCGCCGGCGCAGCTGCTATATGGACCGGCCAGGGCAACTATCTGACACTCAACAGCGATGCCGATACTATATCCAGGAACTCAGGAGTCTTCTGGGCTATGTTACAGTGCAGGTATGTTAATAGAGTTACTATGCTACTTTCTCTCTTATGAAAATAAAATGTTGCAGTAATTGTAAGAATAAAAAGTCATTTCCAATCCAATCATTATATTCTAGTTCATAACCGTTAGAAAAGTTGTTAAAACTCAAGTATAATAAATCTTGTTAGCATATAAATTGATCAATTAACGTTTAGATGTAATTCATACTCGATGCCGACATACGACACGAGTGTAATGTTTCAGCTCGCAAATTTTAAAAATCGTTAATTGAATGCTTTCTCTTTGCAGCATGTTTTTTGGAAATCTTTTCGTATTCATTAAGTTCCAAGGCAAGACTCAGATTGATGCGGAGACAAGGAACGTTGTGTTCGGTGCTTTGACTGGAGTCTGCGCCGTTGGTTTGGTTTTCCTTATGCTCCTAAGACCAGCTAAGCGCATGCCCAACATCGAAGATGCCAAGGTAAACCGCACCCTCTCGCGTTGACATAATGCATGTATTGCAACTGAACCATGGTCAACTAGCGCATAATATATTAATAACATTTTAATCTACCTTGTCACTATTTTTGGTATTATTCAAATACAAATTATTCGAAATGTCAACAATTTTATGACCCACGACTGGATTCCCTTGGTCGTGTTTTCTTTAAAGAGGAATGTTATGAGGTAGTTTCATTGAGGGTCAACGGGAACTTATGTATGGTAGTGGAGCTAATAAAAGCGCCATAATTGAATATTTTCAAGTCAAGGCTTTAGCCCTGATTCTGATAGGCCATTGACCCTTACAATACGGAAGATTTTAAAGACTTGTTTAGTAGGTCGAATGCAATGTTCATGTAGTGATTTTGTTTCCAGGGCGAGATAGTGACCCACGAAGTGCAAGAAAGTCCCATGGATGCGTTCAAAGGCGCTTTGAAGTTGTTCTGTACCCGCGATATGTTGTTGCTCAGTGTTACTTTCATTTATACTGGTGAGTTATATAACATGAAAACTGTCATTTTCCTAGGACATAGACCAGGCAGTGAACAATCCTGTTTTAATAGATGACGAAGTTATATTCTCAAACAGAGTACAGGGAATTTTAATGCTAAGGCGGACAGGGTTTTGAGATCTACATGATTAAGCACAGACCCTGATTAATGGTAGTTACGCATGTCAACACCAAGAGGTGTATGTTCTTCATATCTACAGTTTATTTAATATAAGCATTTAAATTGTTATTGTATGTATAGGAGGTAATCAGTAGACTGACCTTTGATTACATCATGTATTGTGTGTCGGGAATTCCAATATTTCTTTACTACACTAGATTTTAGTTAACACTAACAAAGACCTACCGAGCCTAGTGAAATTACTTCTTGGGTGATTATTCCAAGAATCTGGGATCATTGGCTCCCTGTTACATTCCTACCCTCACTGAATACTAATGAGAATATCAATTCCAACGTGATTTCTAAAGGAATCCTTTACAATTTTGTGGAGAAAGGCCTTCGATTATGTCGATTAATATTAAGCAAAATGTGTATCCTTTTCTAAGCTAATTATTTAGATGACCGTATACAATTTGGAAGGTTTAAAGTTTAGTTTGGTAAAAATGATGTATAGAATGATTTCTCAATAACCTTTTATTAAGTTTTAGAAACTATAACAGTTATTCTGTATTGTTAGACAATAGTAGGGGAGCCCACGATGCTAAATTGGGATTTACTTGAGCGTCCTTGGGACCTACTGGATTTTGATATGCTGATAGAAAGAAGAAATGGTTTAGTGACAATTTCTTCCACCAGTGGGGGAAGGGGGAATCTACAGATCTTTGAAATTGTTAAGCGTAACTTTTGTTCTAGTGGTCGAGCGTGTCAGATATTGATAATGTACATGCTCCATGTGTATTTAATAATAAAAAACTCTTAATCTGCCAGTTTGCATGGTGGGGTTGAATGTTCTGGAGAGTACAAACGAGAACCCTTCAAAATCCCCCCACTCTTGCAAATCAAGTTGGAATGGGCAGATTTTTTAAACGCACTTCCTTTAGCACGGTATTGACCTACCTTCCCTTAATCTGACGAAACTGACTTTATTTAGTCAGACTTTTTTTTTAATTTTCAGTCCCCCCCTTCTAATCAGATCGGATATATGTTGGGTATATTCAACATGACACTAGGTTTTCCCCATATGTTAATCTGACGCGCTCGAGTAACTACCGAAATCCCTTCATGGGCTCCCCTACTACAAGTAGCAAATAGCAAAAATTATCCAATGAGTTAATGTAGAAATGCAATAAGCGAAGTATATTGTGTTTTGTGACGTGTATTTACTTCCGTAAACAAAGGTTCGTTTAAAGAGTATAATACAAATGTTTGCTCCGATTCATTAAAGCGCATCGACAAACCTGTTTACCCAATATATCTGCATGACGCGTAAATGTCAAATAGTACGCGACATTTTAATAACATTTCCATTACAAACTACCTATAGTACTTATTGTGTAGTACATAAGGCTAATTTTCCTTTGTAGCAAATAGAGAACCTTTATGTTGTTTTAACAGTTAACTTCTTAGTAGTAAAGTCGAATTTGTAAGTAAATAAGAAGCATAACCGACGACATTAGGCTTAGCTTTGATAAGAATTCATTGCATCGGTCAAGTGGAAGTGAGGAGATCAAGAGGTATCCAATTTGATTTTCAAGGCAACTAATGCATAATTGGTGTTTTAATTTTTGAAATTATTAGGCTTCATGTTATTGTGGCAACACAAAAAGAAATACGTCTTAAAAAAGAAGATGCAGACTATAATAGTCTTTAAAGTCATATTATATATATAAGTGGCCATTACTGACCAAAGTCCTTATCACACGGAGAAGGTTTGAGTATTAATCACCATGTTTGCTCAATGCGGGTCGACGATTTCAAACTTATAATTAGAAATATGCTCAGGTCTCCTCACAGTGTTTTCCTTCAACCGTTTGTCAGTGGTGTCTAAATAACTATAAAAGTACGTATGTAGTAGATATATAGATTTTTTTTCTATTTCCAGGCGTGGAACTGTCGTTCTTCAGCGGCGTGTACAGTCCGAGCATTGGTTTCACACTGTCTATGGGCGAGAATGCTAAACAGCTGGTGGGCTTGTCAGGCGTCTTCATTGGTATGGGAGAAGTGCTCGGTGAGTGTGACGTCACGTTCTTTATTGTTTATTTGTGGTTCATGTTGAGCTCCTATTGTGGTTGTATAAATTTTCAACTTTATTGCCTTTGTGAAAGAGTTGAAAGTCTATTGGACAAGGCTTCATTGAAATAACTATGTGCCATCACTTAGCAGAAAGTCATTTTTTCGAGTGGTTGTTTGAGGTGCAGGTACTGTAGATTAATATGGAATTTGTACATATTTATCTAAGTGTAGCATACATGAAACCTAAGAATATTGAACTATGAATAAGTGCGACGAAGTTTGTTTGAGCATTTTCACCCTTAACGTTGCGTCAATAAAGTTCAAACTTAACTACGAGTATAAAGTACAAGTCTTGTTTGTTAAAATTACAGTTGTTATAAATAAGTACCAACATATCTATTAATCTCATCAACACGAGTTACAATAAAACCTTTTTAAATTAATCTCTAGATAAAACTAATTAATTACATTTCATTGTCCAATTTGGTTTAGCAATATTTGTATTGGGCAATAGAATTACGTGTATCTATAAAGATTAAAGATATTAATTCGGTTTAAACTAGACTTACCTAATTGTTTATATATATATAATTGCTATAAGCCAAGCATAGATAAATAAAGTGTTGACACACATACCTGTACTTATGTATAAGTCATAAATCATAATTTATATTTTTGTAATAACTATCGTGAGACATACTAAATTAACTAAAATCGCGGGTTACTCACGTGAATGTACTGAGAAAAGCTCTACTAGCTTCGAACCACAGAGGGGTTCTTCCTCATGAGCAGCGTGCGCGAAGTTACCGCGACCGCGCGCACGTGAGTAACCCGCGATTTTAGTTAACATAATGTATGTTGTGGTATGCAATATAATCTGAACTTTATGTCAATGCACACAAACATCATTTTATACGAGTTCTTATAAGGAAACCAATACTTATTTTGCTTACAGGAGGTGCTCTCTTCGGTATTCTCGGCGCAAAAACAACTCGTTGGGGTCGCGACCCGATCGTCATCATGGGCTACTTCATTCATTTAGGCAGCTTCTTCCTAATCTTCATCAATTTGCCGACCGTGGCGCCATTTGGAGACACCAATGAGGTTTCCTACATCACCCCTTCACCGCAGCTAGCGATGTTCTGCAGTTTTCTACTAGGATTCGGAGACGCATGCTTCAATACTCAAATATACTCGATTTTGGGAGGCAACTACTCCGACAACAGTACCTCAGCTTTCGCACTGTTCAAATTTACTCAGGTGAGTTCTTTGTGTTCAACATTCATTTTTGGTGTAAGTATTAAGTGCAAGATTTTAATGAAAAGTAAATTTGTTTATGAAGATCATGTTTTAAAGTACTCAGTGCTAATAATGCCTTTAGTATGTATTTGACTTTTGCATTACTATCAATATGTTACAGTATTTTTGGAAGTTGTGGAAACAATATTTGTTTATAAACGTTTCTGTCGATACTTTAGTAAAGTTGCTCGAAAACAGAAGAATGAAATAACATATGTGTTAGATAACATAATTATGTTATGACATAACATCACGCCTTTTATCCCCGTAGGGTTAGGCAGAGGTGTACATTGCGGCACTTAATACCACTGTACAATGTAACGCCCACTTTTCACAATTTATGTTATGAGTCCCATGTAATAGGGGGTGAGCCTAATGCAATATACCGGGCACAATGCCAGACACAGTGCTAATACTGAGATTTTTTGAAAAAAATCAGTAATACTTTGTCCGACCCGGGAATCGAACCCGAGTCCCTTTGCCCGGCAGTCGCACATGCGACCACTCGGCCAATGAGACAGTAATGAAATAATAATAACTATTATTCAATTTGATTCCTCAAAAAAACTTTTCTTTGCTTACGTCACTTAATATATTATAAATCTTAAGAAACAATAGACTATTCCATAGTTTATTTATGTGAGTGAATTATACAAGGAAAAATCTTGTTTTGTTGCCAATCAGGACCTGTAGAGATAACCTTCGCCGCACGGAAGTTTAATAAAAGAGGATGTAATACTAAATAACAACACATATCGCATGATAAGCAATTATGTGACCTAGGTACATTAAAAAAAGGTGCATAATAAATTGAATTGACGCTTGGGGCTCGGGGCTCTTACTGGTGTCATACAAATAGGTCGTAGAGAGTTCCGATGAACTTTTAGGTCCCTACTATTATGTTATGAGTAATTAATTATTATAAAACAATTGGTTAGCGCTACACACAATGCCATAAAATCAATTGCTTGTTTCGATGTGCGACGAATGCATTTAAATTTTACGTTCTTTTGAATCTAATAGGGTAGTTGCCAGGGAATGAAATTAAAAATCTAATTAGTCCGTCAGTTAGGCAATTAAAAAATATTAGACACGTATTTTTTTATTTGCTCGTATAAAGTTATAATACTTAGATAAAATAGAGTTAAGTTTAGGAGTGGGAGGTCATGTGATAGTGACGTCACACGATATTTCAAATTATTATATCGTCGAAAGTATTTAATTTTGTGAGAAAAGAAAAAATGCATGACTAATGTTTTAAGTTAATGTACCAGACGGACATTAAAATAAAATTTAGGCAACTACCCTATTGTGTCTAATTAAAAGAAAAATATTTTAGGTTTTGTTGTCGTCAATTGATTTATGTAAAAGGTTTTTTAACGTTTACATAGTACAACGTCATTGCTCTTCATAAATAGCATCTTCTAATAATTATTTTCCTAACTTTCAGTCCCTAGCAGCGGCAGCATGTTTCTTCTACTCATCAAAGGCGCTGCTCTCCGTGCAGCTGATGATTCTGGGCGTCCTAGCGACACTAGGTACTGCGTGCTTCTGCCGTGTTGAATGGGCCGCTAGAGCTCGCGCACGCGCCCTAGCGATTGACGCCGACGACAAGTCATCACCAACCACCCACGCTCTTGCAGATAATGGACTCCACTACGACTGAACAAACGATACAGCCAGTGACGGATTAAACATGCGCGAGTCGCGTAGCAAATTCTAATTAAGGCCCCCTCGATCTTATAAGTTTTATGGTGTTTTGGGGTCGGTAGTACTGAGGGTCTTTTGCTTTGCTAGATGGCGCTAACGAAGAGAGTCTTGTTCCTATAACTGTTAAAATTTTAATGTTCAAATGATGATTGTATTTCAGCTAATTTGACAAGAGACATTAGTTACCAACTTTAGAGGCCATACGCTATAACCCTCATACTACTCTTACCTCGTGGTTAATCCGGCACTGGATACAGCCTAATGTTACTGGTTTTAGATACAGTATACTCCCTACATTTGTTATGAATTTGTACGTAGATTTTTGCTATATGGTGGAAGTAAAGTACAACTCGAATATAGCATCACGATCACTTCATGTAAATAGGTCTTGCTTCCTAACTTAGTTTGGCTAAGTTATGTTCCTGTCACATTTTATATTTGTTTCGTGTACTCACAAGATACAGGCAGGAATAATTCTTAGTCAAAGTGCTATAAAAATATATCGTATCTCGGTTCAAAAAAATAAATGAAGAGTAATCTTGACGTTTCTAAAATCATTAATTTAAGGCTTGTGTAATATATGACGGAAAAATCGGCTGACTACCGCAGCAGGCACTAACTAGGCAGCCCTAGAAAGAATTGTACATAAGAGTAAAGCTATTATTTTAAGAAATTAATTTAAATTATAACAAAAAATGTGTACAATCGTCGTCAGAGATTATAAACATTGTCTATGCGCCTGCATGATTTTTAAACTTTGGAAAAATCCGTTACGTTTTGAATTTCGAAGTGCAAGCGCAATGACAATTTAAATGTCGTTACTTAGTAGACCTAATTTTAACAAGAATTTTAAATGATTAATGTGAAGTATTGATATTGAATATCTTTTACACATAGTATTCAAAATAAATTTTGACTAACGTAATAATATCAATTAATTGTATGTACATTGTACGGAAGTATTAAATACCATGTTCTATGTTAGGCTAAATTTATCTGACTACTAAAGATTGAGTTTAAAGAAATATAATTACGAAAACAATCCCTAAGTTGGCTGTGTCAAATGTAATAATCTCCAAATGTTTGTAGGATTATTTATAATAATCCTTTACCATGATAATTTAATGAAAATAATGATATTGTTTCATTCATTGCTAATGGTTGGCATGTAATGTAGATTGTAAGCAAAATACAGCAAGCTTTAAAGTGAGGGATGTATGTAGATGTAGGTGACTTCCATTTGCGGTGGACTGTACTCACTGAATGAAACAGGGAATTAAATAATTGTTTTTATCCTCTTTTTTATAAACCTCTATAATGCATTTTGTTTTGATTTCATCAACAATGAAGTGATTAGAAATATATATGTATATTTATGTATGAAAGGTAATGTGTGGTGCTCTACTCACGGCTCAGTGAGCGTAAATTATATTTTTTATAAAAATAAATGTATGTTATATGTATATTACGTACATGGGAACTATGAAATTGTTTAAGGACATCTAGTCACAAAACTTGAGGCGTATAAATGATATCATGGTACTTGAAATCGACTATTGTATAACACATTCATAGATGACATTCCTTATAATGTTTTTATCAATTTTATTTTAGTTTTTAGTTATTTAGTAGATATATAATTTTATATTTTGTTATTTTTTTATTTTCATGCTTTTAATTTAACATTCCATTTTGTCTACCTAGATGCCTATCTCAAATTAATAGTATTCCCTGCAGTTACTATCTAGTCTTATTCCCCTATTCTAAAATAACAGTTGACTATACTTTTAAACATTTCATGAAATTATATGTGAAATAAAATATTTTAATAACTATTCTGATTGTTTCAAACATTTTGCCCACCCCTATCCTCAAATGTAAAAAGATAATTATGTGATATTATGTAACTGGGTACTTTCCTTAATCAAAAATAATTTATTTCGACTGTTCAATAATATAAAATATTAAAAAATAATCACACTTTCATTAATTGATTTTATGACCAAATTAATTTTAGTATTTTTTCAGCAATGTAATAAGATATGAGTATGCTGTTTGACGTTAAAAATATGTGACGTCACAATACACAATCTCGTACAAAATTCATAGAAAGCTGTCGTTTTAGACAGTTCAGAAAAGGATTGAATTTGACTAGTTGGCAAGTACCCAATTTAGAGGCCTTAGTACAAGTTTGTTTTACGTTTAAAGTATTCGAAACGAGTACGCGTTCGGCACTCTGGTTGGTTCATTCAAGCCGGCCAATCAGAGCGCAGAACGCGTACTCGTTTCGAATAGTTTTGTAGTTCCTGTAGTGGGAAGGAAATGAATATTGACAATTGTATTATAGGTCCTTCTTGAAAGAAATATCTTGGTACGTTACGATGGTTAGGATGTGAAAATCTCTTACTGTTATGGACTTTTTTTATAAGGTAGCTACAACATAACTGAAATGTGAAATATTTATTTATTTATTTATTTATTTATTTATGTACACACATTCAACACAGAGGACAACACATATATAAAAACAGAGTACATAGGCCCCACATATTCCAACTGGAATCTCTTCCTGTGGGCCTGTGGCAGGAAACGATTTATGTGCTTTAAACACTTTTGACTATCTTTCAAAAAGAGGCAACAATATAAATCTTTTCAACTATTCGGCCTCATCGTTCACTTGATAAAATTGACATGTAAAAGTGCTGCCTTGTAGCCTATTTGCAGAAATAAATCCACTTGTTCCACTATTTTTCCTAAGGGAAGGAGTATATTTGACCAATATTAAAACAACTCTATAACTATTTAACAACTTTATAACTATTTTACTAAACAGTAACTAAAAAAAAATACAAAAAGAAATGCTAGAACATTCCTATGAAGTCCCTGATTTTCAAGCTAAGCTTACGGAACTTGATGTCCTCTCCCACAAATATTTATTGCAAAATTTGATATCGAATAAATAAACAAAAAGATTAATAAATTACAAAAATTTAAATAAAAATACAAATACAGTGAAACACAATGACAAAAGAAAATGTGGAGCGAGTGTGAGAGATTGGTGTAACAATAAATATACACCTGGGAGCAAAGAAAAAGAGCCACTAGCATATTTTCCTTTTAATTTCTTAACCCGTTGAAATCCATCCCCTAAATTTGGCCATACAAAAGTAGTCTCTAAACATTAAAAATACGGTTTATAATGTAATGTAATATTAGTGGAAAGCGGTCACCGGTGACCGCTTGGGGATTTATGGGTTAATAAATATTTTCTGATAATTATAAGTATTTTATTAATTTAGTACTTCTCAACTAGTCAAATTCAATACTTTTTTAACTGTCAAAAACAATTCTATGAATTTTACGCTTTTGAGTATTGTGACGTCACACTTTTTTAGCATCAAACAGCATACTAATTACTTTTATACTTTTATATATAATAACTTAAAAATTTGCTAGAAAAATACTAAAATTAAGTTGGCCACAAAATCAATTAATGAAAGTGTGATACTTTTTTTTAATATTCATTGAATCTTAATCAAATAATTTTGATTAAGGAAAGTAGCTGATTGGTAATAGTTACCTTTAAATTGAGAGCAGTTGGTGTAAAAGGACTTCTATTTTTACTAAATTATAGAGAGTATGATAAAATGGAATAAAAGCTAGTGGCTCCGTCTCTTTGCCTCCAAGTGTACATTTAAAAACAAATGCCTACACCTATTTACTCGAGCCTTCACTACTGTCTCCAAGTTTGAAGTCCATAGGTTTGTCATAGCCCATGATCTTGGCATAGTGTAGGGGATCATTGAAGTGCCGCGCTTCTATGAAGAGAGGTGTTCCTTTAGCTTTCAATGTGGTGAACATACCGGGGATCTCAGGTACCTCAACATCTTCCACTTTGAAGTCCAGCTGGAAGTAACATTTAAGAGTTTTAGTAAAAGCTTAGTTGCTAAAGTTTGTACTTAGTAATAGGGATGTAAAAACAGAAAATTATGGTAGGACTTTTTACAAGAATAAGATTGATTTTTCACATGATAATTAGGACTATTTAAGACGTCAGTAACATGAACATACCATTTTCTTCGCTAAAAAGAAGTTGATAGTGGTAGCAGTGTATGTTGATGTTGTAGGGTCGTAATGTATTTCTGTTACATACTTCTTGGTGATAATGTGAAGTAACACAGGAGTTACGAATGTGAAGAAACCCACTACTGAGCAAATAGCGACGAGCAGCGAAGTACTGCCTATGTTTGCAGCTTCTCTAATGATTATAGGTTGTGCCAATAAGCCCGCTGCACTCGAGCTCAACGAAAACACTTTCACACCCTTTATCTGTGGCGTCAGTGGACCTTTGTATATACATTCTAACTTGTTCTCCTCTTCAGTTAATTTCACCGCATAATTTCTACTCAAAATATTAGTACAGCTGTTAATGGCTTTTAATTTAGAGGTTATCTGTTTATGTATGAGAGGTTGCATGAGTATTTTATTTTGACTGAACGTAGTTTGTGCACAAAAACGTAACATTTTGCTTAATATTATTGGTAGTTTCACTTAATAAATTACACCGCAAATCAAAAAATCAATTCCATTGATTTCGGGCAAAACAAATGTCAATACGATTTTTGAATTTTGACATTGACAGTCACATGCAAGTCAGTGTGACATTTCACTGACATTGACGTGGAAACTACGTTCAGAAATTTCAGAGCTATGTCAGGCGCGAAACCAAAACATTAATTAAAATAAGAATTTAACATATTTTTCTGAAGAATGAGACAAAGGGATAATCCACAAGCCTTTTTCAAACAAAGAAGTTGACAAAGTCTATGTAACTTATTACATCTAGGTACTTACTCAAAACTAATAAAACTAATATGCACTAACATTAGTCATTCATCACTTTGGTACTTAATAAAAATTTTACACTGTATGTTTTGTTGGACAATTGTCTACATCATAGCAGAAACCGGTTTCCGTGTCTAGCACAAGAGGATCAGGACAGTCACATCTTGAAAATCCGCAAACGGTGCCTACAAGCGTTTGTTCAGGATGCTCGCAAGTTTTTTGAGCTGGCCAATATGAGGCCGTGCAGTTGCTTTTTCTTTGGATCATCCATTCTGGACAGGTATCGACACCTAAAATAAGAGACACAATTAATTCGGAATACGTTTGGATGGAACTTCTTGCTTCGAAATCGGATGGTATCCACCTAGTTGTAAAACCAACAAGTTAGTACCTATTTCTTTCTTAATACTTTACATCAACTGGGCAATAAACTCGACACCTAATGCTAATGAGAATTTATAATCTTACTTATGTAGCTACTAGCTACTTGGGTTCCTAATACCAACGGGCTGACTACGAGACACCCGCAGGGCACCTTGAGGCGAGGTGAAACCCGCAGGGCACCTTGGGGGAGAGATGACGGGCATTAGCATCCCGCGGACTACCATCATCCCGAGTGCTCCAGGGAGGAGTTACCGTTCCTTATTCTCCGGGTTGCCTTAATTAGCCAATTAAGGCAAGCCAGCCAGCCGGCTGTAGTGAACGATGACAAGGAACAGGTCTCCCACCTCTGGCTTGCCTTCATTGGCCGTCCAGAGTGGAGTCGCGAGAGCAGTGATCCTGCTCGGAGGGTAAGAAACTATTCGTAAGTCGCGAGTGGGCCAGGGATGCAGGAGGCTTCGGCTGGAGCAGATGATCTGAGTAGAAAGCGGTGGTAGTTTCTTAACCCTTCAGCCACTCACATTCTCGTTGCCCCTATGTTGCTATATCTAGCAACCATTCCCGGGGCCCGGTCGGTGAGTTGGCGAGTGTCCGCCTGCCATTTTAACGTGTAAAAATTACATTGTTTCGGCAGGTGCCATAGTCATCCATAGTTCCCAATTTACCAGTCTACAGCAACCCATCCATAGCCCTACCTTTTTTTTCATTATTCACAATAGCCCTACACTAACCGGGGACTGTCCTTGGGTGCATTTCCATAGTGCATACAGGGATAGTCGCCGGTTTGTGTCTCCATTACATTTAGATTAAGTTGTTTAAAGGTCCTCTGCGCAGTTGGCTTCGGCCCCTCGTACGCCTCCCAAATGACCGGGACCCTGTGGTCCCGTGAATGGTAAAGACATACAATAATAATAATTCTTTATTGAACACCAATGGATTTGTACATTATTTTGTGTAAAACTAAGGTACAGAAGTGGTAGTGATACGATTAAGTGAATACTTGCTAGTAATATTGCTATGTAACTTAATGACAATGTTCACGAAACAAAAAATGTATCACTATACGACCACCATGAGAGTTGGTGCTTTAATGATCGTCTTAAGTTAGCTCGATTAGTCGTTTCTTAAGGCATTTATTCAACGGACATAGACAAATGTGATGCTTAATGTAATTAGTTAGCGTTAGCGCTGGTGTAAGTACCTACCTAGTTAAAATTTGGTTCTAAGTTATTATCTAAAGGAGTGCCGACCTCATTTTAGGTGGATTTGATTTTAAAGTAGGTTTAGTACCTACTTTTGTACTTGTTTACTTCTGAAGTTATTGAAAATTGTTAATACACATAATAGGCCTATCTAATAACTCTCCTACGTGATTTTGTTAACATAGACAAAGCTTAACGTTAATTAACACATAGACATAGTGATAAAACAGCATTGAATTTGTAAACTACGGATTTACGACAGTTTCAGAATAATCCATTAGCATATTTTGTCTGACCCACTACCCAGTAGTTCAACGCACACCGAATTGTCAATCAGAAAGTACACGATCAGTAAAAGTAGAAAATCGGTATTTTTAAAGTGCCATAATGATTTAATGACTCTTCCCGGCTTGGGTGAGGTGAGAGGGAGTGTCAGACTTGTACTGACTAAAACCACCCCGTTCCTACTTCTGCTTCGAGCCGGAGCCCTGGTAACCCATTAAGTCTTCCGCGGGGACCATCGGGGGTTGGTAGATAAATTGCTTTGATTGATAATCTGCAACCAACTGGAGTTGATAAGGTTTAGTACTGACTCTACTCTTAATGGAAATCATAGGGTGCCTTCAGCACGTCGTCAGACTACCACCTAATATCATAATAAATGGGTCCCATCTGTGGACCCATTAGGTGGTAGGGCTAGATGCCCAACCCGAAGTGCATTCATTGTAAGATTTTCCCCCTCGATGGAAAAGTTAAAAGAAAATGAATCAGGTAGAGATGGGTGATAATAAACTCACATGTATTATTATGCCACAAGCACATATTCACCGACGATTTGTTGTAAGACGAAACCAAACTCAAACCGAACAAGATTAATGTGACGATCATATTGACTAGATCTAATACACTAGTTGTATCTCGTCACTTAGTCTTTCTTTTATAACAAATGGCTAAAGAGCGAACAAAATAATGTTTATAAAGTTTAATTAATGGAACAATGCTAGTCAAGTTCGACAATAGCGCTTTGTCTATTTTATATTAAGACAATGAATACGTTTATAACATTGGATTGATATGAAACATCGATTTGTAATCGTAGCTTTCTTCAAAGTATGAATAACCTGAAACAAATATTGGAAAACTCACTAGAACTGATTCTAGTGAGTTTTCCAATAGTTATAGCAATTTAGCATTGCAAATAATTTAATAATAATGAATAAGTAGGATATATAACGTTTCTGAGATTTCCTAAGAAAAAGGTCAAGACGTCGAAAAGTCTGTCAAGTTCTGTACTACCTATAAATGATTTTCTTGGACTTAGACAGGTACCTACGTCTTCTAGCTGTGTCATGGTATAGGGACTTATTTTTGTTAAAAGAGCGATAAGGGGTCGATTCATCGGCCTAAACAAGCACAAGTGAATGGCGACAATGCGGCTATCTACTAGCCGAGCAAACACTGCCTATTGATTTAGTTTATCTGTTCGCAAACAAGGCGCGCGCGCCCTCAAGCACGGACGAAACACGTCGACGTGCCATGAATCGAATATACAACAAATACTATAAAAGGGTCCGCACGACCCTAAGATAAATCTCCATTTTCCTAAAAATCATACTCCTTGCTCTTATCTTCCCATAAACGTCGCAAAAACTTTAATTCTGGGTACCGATATCGATCTCTGGGATAACTTTATTTTATTGACACATTCGCTCTAAAATTAAATTCGGTGTAGAGATAAAAAATTTAAAAACCATAACTATTATTTGGTAAAACCATTATTTAGCTATTAATTAGTAAACTTGCCTTTAAATCGACGCGCAGAATTCACGTCAAAAGAATAGAACCGTTTAAAAAAATGAGGATGTGCCGACTCACGACCGAAAGGACAGGTAATTATAACTTTCAAAATATGATCTATATCTTTAATGTATTTTAACTAAAAGGTTAAAAGAATAATTATCATTATCTACCTGTGCAATACTTTACGAAATATTTGTTATAATTATTACTATTTGCTGTTTTTGATTAATGGCTCTTAATTATCAACGAAAGGAACAATTTTTCGCATTTCTAAACTGCTAATAGCTAGGTAGGTTGAGAAAATTTATGTGGTCTATATTATTATAAGTAACCAGTTAGTAACATTGTTATTTAAATGCACAAATAAATAAAATTATCGCCAATATCAATACATAGTATAAAACAAAGTCGCTTTCGCTGTATGTCCGTATGTATGCTTAGATCTTTAAAACTACGCAACGGATTTTGATGCGGTTTTTTTTAATAGATAGAGTGATTCTTAAGGAAGGTTTGTATGTATAATACATGCATATTGCACCCGTGCGAAGCCGGGGCGGGTCACTAGTTTTAAATATACGAAGTTACTCTCAAAGTTAACCTCGCAGATAATACGGTAAACCTTTCCCGCCAATTCTAAAAGCCCTCGAAAAGCTTATCAAACCTTTCCAAACAGATTTGTAACATCTATGTATGGATATAAAGTTCATATTGGAACGGCACATATAGTAATATTATGGAAAGAGATAGTCTATATCTGTTTCTCTTTGTTAGAATGTTGTTATATCGGTCTCTTTTACTCGTTGAAGTAAATGTGTGTCCAAGATGTGTTGTCTCTGTCGGTGGATAGTTTAGTCAAGTTTCTGAGTTGGTGAAGTATTGCCGCGTTGTTGTATCCGCGGGCGCGTTTGTTTACTTTTGTAAAGGACTTGAATAACTATGGAACTTACATAGACAGGTTGTTTTCAAGTGATGTGATTGAAGCAGTGTTTTAATTGGTACTGTTGTATTTTAATTCGTTAAAATGGAGATGAGGCGATTATTTTGGACTGTATTTTTGGGAGTTTTATGCAGAGCGGAGGCGGGTATGATTGGTGATCAGTGCGACTGGACTGGCAGGTATGTCGATGTCGAAACCTCTATTGTTTGGCACACTTTTTATTTATGAATTTGAATATGGAATCGATCAATCAACTAATTACTTGCATAGTTAATTGCGTATTGTCGTTCGCATTAAAACGTTTTGCTTGTAGAAAGTTCTGAGTGTTTTTCAAAATTGTTGACATAGTTTGCCTTAATTAATATTTCTGAATATATTGTTTGCTTTGATCTTGAATTTATGCATGGTTATAAGGCATTCGTATATTTAACTTGTATAAATTCAAACTTCAATAGGCGTCAATATATTAAAATTGAATAATTTAAGTTTACTTACCTCACCTAACCTGCTAAGTATGTAAATAAATACTCTATATATACTTTTTTGTACTTAGATTGAATTTGTATATATCACGTAGTTATGTCTACTCATTAGGCAAGAACTAGAAGCCATATAACCTATTTTATAATTTGTACGGTATCTACTATGTTATACTTCTTAGATAATAACAGTAATCATACATTTAATAATAAAAATATATACTTAAATTATGTCTTTTAAAAATGTTAGAATTCATAAAGTATGGCGAATCCGCGCGGAATTCATCTCATTCAAAATATAAACAATCCTGCCCCGAGGCGATACATTGTTCAAGGCAATTTTCTTAATCAAGCCACATTTTATTACCATATTATTTGCGATCGCGTGTCCTACGTTATTAACAACCTTTTTATGTATTTCAAATGAATCATTCATCGAATAAGTAGGTACCACGAGAACACGACATTTTTATCATAACTACTGATGTCGGTCGCCTGAAGGTAGCACCTCTTGTAATTTGAATGTAAATTTTGATCTTATCTCTAAATACAATATTTTATTAATCTCGAACTTGCTATAGGGAGCTATTAGCGTGACAAGTAATTATGTAGTAGGGGCTCAATAATTATAAATCAATTTATTGCGTACCTATCTTAACTCGTCGAGTACCGTCATTATAGAACAATAGGTTGCGGTCACCGGTGACCGCTTGGTGTTTGACAGTTTTAGGTAGGTAAATATACGGGGTTATGTAACTTCGCAACTCTTTTGATTGGCTACTACTGCCTTTGCAAATTAATATAGTTATTCCCTACTATTCTCGTAATATTTAGTATCTATCTAAGAGGGTATAGTCTGTAAACAACGTTAAGAATACTTATTGACAGTAATTACAAGACATAATATATTCCAGATAAAGATCCAAGTTCGGCTCAGGACTATGATTGATCACGACACGACACAATCGAGTGTACAGCACTAGCCACTAGCTCATTAAGTCCCCACATTGAGTCGACTGTATACTCATAATCGATGTACCGATGTCAACATAGAACATTAAAATAAAAATAATTGTTATTGTTAATGGGCCCCGGAAACGATGTCAAATGGGGGCTCGATTACGGAACAAAAATCAACAAGTGGGGTTTCCCTGCAGGGGTGGCGTGGGAAGCCGAAATGGAAACTGTTCTCGCCAACCCTAACTTGTACTGTATTGTACTACATGACCCTTCCGGCTAAAAGGGTGATTCCGACTCACCCTTGATGTGTTATAGCTCTTTATTGGTTTTAGAGTTAAGAGATATAGAATTTCCGATAGTGTTTATTGGTAAAATATTTTACATTTTCTGAAATTACGCTTAAAATCCGTCGATATGCAGTGTCTCATATATTTGAATCAGGCCGGTTACAATTGGAATCTGGGATAGTAAATAAAATACACTGGCCACAAGAATGTGTTCAACTTTTGCGTGAGAAAACTGGGCACCTGCACTAAATAACGTAAATATTTTGTTAAAAGCTCATTATTATGGGAAAGCTCCACAATAACCCTGTTAGTAGGTAGACGAAGTTCCCATCAGATAGTGTTTATTTTTCTAATAAACATATAAACAAACGAGCTAAAGATACTTTATACCAGATGAATGCAACTCCATCGCTTTAGAAATAACACCTCGCCATAAACATTTACATTACTATTAAAACTGCTCTTTTACGACGCGACGAAGTTAACAGAGGTATCAATAAAACCAAGTAAAAAGAGATAAAATACCTGCGCGATAACATCGACGTGCAAGAAAGTACACAAAGATCATATTAGCGACGGAAAAGCTATCAATGCAGAGCCTGCAAAAAGCAAATTGAGTGTCAATGTACCAGCATCACTGTGAACATTGAGGAGCATTCAAGTTCATACATTAATATTTATTAGGGAGGGCGGAGTGAACCGAGGGGACCGGGATCTGTTTATTATAATATCCTCCTATTATAACGCGTTCGCACGATATGCTCCAATCTGACTGATTGGTTGCTCAAAGCCGCTATATGAACCCTCCATGTCACGGAGCATTATGTCTATGGAAAAAAAAAATATGCATGTGACTATTGAATTTCATATCGCTAACGCTCTTCGATATCCTGGATATTAATTTGCCGAAATATTGAGGATAATCGTTGATTTCCATTATTTCTTATCAGAACAAAGTGGATGTAAATGGATTGACCCTCGCACTGACGTCAAAATGTGCACTGAATTATAATTGGCTAATTAAATTGCCCCACGCAAGTGCATCTTAACAACGGATGTGCGTAATGACTGTGACAACTGAACGTCACGAAAAACAAAAGATACAATTGTAAGTACATTACACGCAAAATGCACCAACACCTAATGTAACACCATTTGTCAAAGTCATGCATAATGAGAAATTCAAAAGTTCAGCCGCTGGGTATACTTTATCAAATTCCACCAGTAAACATTTAAAAAGTATTTACAGAGCAGTTTTATCAGTGCCTCCAAATAATAAAAAAACTTTAACAATGTATCGAAAATATGGCGTAAATGGTTGTAAGGAGATTTTTTATTGACTGGCGCCTTCTGGCACAATATCTGATTTGACTCCCAACAATAGCCACTGCCACTAAACACTTAAGTGGTCACTAGAAAAAAATGGCTTATGAATAGGAGTTTAAAATGCGTATTTCTCTATTGCAGTTACAGTTTCTTGTACTAAAACCAATGTGTCGTTAAATAGATGGAAGATTTTATGACGATGACTTAATAATTTATAAAAAAAACTAGTTACGTACTAGCACAATTATTTTTAGACACATTTGAATTGTAAAGGTCTAGGCAATAAATGTGCGATCAAGTGTGAGAACGTTTACATAATGACTTTATGGAAAAACCAGATATTAATAATAAGCTGTTTGAAGATGTTTTTTGAGTATCACATTAAGAGTTCATCAAGGAGTTATTATTTACTTGAGAAGGAATTTGGTATCTATAGAAAACATACAATAATGAACCTTGTTACAGTGGTTGAATCTGATCCGCAAAGGAAGTTTTTGTTTATAAAGTATCATTAGTTCGCTACGTCTGTAGGAGCATAATACATATACATATCTATTATTTATTTTAATGACAAACTACTACTACACTCCTTGTTGTTCATTGCGATAGTTATCAGTAACAAAATACATTGTTTTATTTCTGGGAACAAAAAATATGTTTGCGGTTTTACTTCCTGAATTTGACCCATTTATTGAACGTAGTTAATCGCTATTTGCGGATGTCACTATCTCAATATTTGCGTAATGGTCAGCCACGATAAAAACATCAGATGGTGTATTGTATGGTGGATTGTGAAGCCGCGGGCTCTCACGCTCTCCATATGGTGAGGCGCGTACGCGTTACGCTGTTTTACGATTCCGCCTGTTCCTGGAAGAAGTTCCCGTTCCATATTCTACAAAGGTTCATTATCATTAGTGATTCACATCCACAGCCACGGCTGGGACCGCCCAGCCAGGACATTTCACATGGGATGGCCATGGGAATTTGTGGAATATGTTCGTTACACCGAAAGAAAACAAGCATCACATGTTGCTGGATGAAATCACGGTTATTTTTAAGCGACGATTGTTTTTATTCGCTCGCCAATTGAGGGCAATCAGCGACACGTGTTCCGTTCGAGACGCTCGCCTTAGGCATCTATTGAGCTCGTTGATACAACGTCTAGTCAAATAAATGATCGTAAAACTGACTTTAGAACAGTACCTTACATTCTTATTGGGAGCACCAAATTAGTTTAATCAGTAATAAGGGCTATCACAGACTTTACAGTGACTGACGGTCCCCATAGTAGATAACTAGGAAGGTTACTCAGTTTGGTATTCTAATTTGTTCCCAAGATACTTGAAATACTCCCATTACTACTATCGTCTTTAGCCTCATATCTGCATGTAACTCTACTTACAGAGAATTTTTATTACACTCTCAAGCTCCAATCACAGAGATAATGGGTGCACGTTAGCTGGTCGCTGAAGGGTAATCCAATGCCTGTACCATGTGTCCACTTATCTTTTTGTCGTAAAGTTCGAGAACATTCTGAGAATTGAATAATATCTAACGTTCCCAAGTTTTTTGGCGTTGATTGTTGTAATGATTGTGACCTACTTCGATTGGTCTTAGTCACTTCGTTGTAAGGAATTGACTACTTTATTTGAAACTGTTAACTCCATTGTTTCTATGAAATAAAAATGTTCGTCTCATTTAATAACATGTTAATTCTTCAGTATAAAAGCTAATTGTTTCGTTTTCATCAAACACGGCATTCTTTGAATGGAACAGAACTAATTAACAGCAAATTGTAGGTCAGCATTGTGTCGGTGGGTCAATGAAGCCTCGCTTTGTGTCGCTACTGTTTACTTTTTCAATTCGTTCCTGGACTACTCACTGCTCGCTTCTACGATAATTTTGTAAGCGGAGAAATCGCGGTAACTTTGATCAATTTCCATGTTATGATCGTAAAACTTCAACTATAATACATACCTTTGTACGCCGCTTTACATAGGAATATAAATTAATTTTGTAATTTAGTGAATACGTCATTTCTGATATGATTTATTGGCTAAAATACTGGTTTGTAATCAATTAAACAGAAAAATATAAAAATCTGTGTGTCGTAAATTGGTAGAAGTC